AAAAAGTAGATTTTAAATAGTTAAATCCCCGCAAACACACACACACACACACACACACACACACACACACACACACACACGATGCTCAGTTGATGGTGGATGATGCCAGCAAAGATGAAGGCTTCCAAGAAGCTCTTTTTAAGGGTCTCTGAGGTGAAATGGCAAATCTGTGACATCCTACAGGGATAAAGGTGCACCTACTCTTGGGGGTGTTTCTATGAATAACAATGCATACAGGAAAAAATGAGGGTTTCTTATGTTTTGGCCTAAAAAAAGAATTCAGATTAAACAGTTTTTGCATTATAATTTATCTAACTTTGCCTCACCTTTAAGTAGTTAATTAAAATGGATATATATCATTTAAAGGTATAGAAACCCTAGTTATTACCTGTGTTTTGTTGACTAGGTTGAGTCCTGTGTTTATATAATATAGCTGGGTAGAACAGCACATTCCTTTATATTGCCAGATCATCCCACCAACATAGACTATCAGGGAGCCACTAATAAACTGAGATCATCTGCAAGGGGCAAAGGCTTGATTCACAGTGTTCTCTAGACAACAGAAGCCATGATCTGCCTTATCCAGCACACATTTCCCCCTTTGAATCATGCCTTTTCACCTGTAGAACCTTTTTATCTTTTATAATGAAACAGCTATACTCTACTCTTAGGATTTTTGTGACCTTAATATTAAAGCATTGTAGTTGAGATTCTCAGCATCAAGATAAAAAGGACTGTAATGGGACTTACCCCAGGGTTCTCAAATGGGTTTTACATGTCACAGGTTGCATAACAACCACAAGATCACAAAACCCTGATGAGGCCAGCATCTCTGAAATGGGAGCACAGATCACGTCGCCAGGCTTAACTGCTTCCATCTACCCTGATAATGTCCCACTGCTTACCATGAGATGTGAATCACCATAGCAATGGGAGCCCTAATCAGATGACAGTGATAAAACACTGTGCCGCTTATGTATACCTTTACAACTGTGCATCCCTTTAAAAGCAGCTGGGTTCATGCTTTGCAGCCTACTTTGTGAAGGCAACATATGATCAATATCCATCCAGTAATCCAGGCTACTCTACCTCTTCTAAGAGGTCCAGAAACAATACACCCATGTCTATAGGAGATGGAACCTCCTATACTATCACACAGAACTTTTACCTTAGGAAAAGGAGAAACACACACACACACACACACACACACACACACACACACACACACACACACACACACACACACACACACACACGCAACTGCAGTATATCTACAAACATCAATCTGCAAATAAAAAAATGCCCTTGGGACATTGGTTTCAAAGAGTCAAAGCTTTAGAGCAAAAGCAAAAACCTCTCAGTAGGGAAGCAGCTCAGTACTCTGGGACTTTATTGTTCCACTTCCCTGAATTGTTACTTACAGGTTCCCGGCCATCCATGGCTTCCATCCAGAGCCTACGGTCCTCTTCCGACAACGCCTGCATGGTGATAACCCCTGACCTACAGAGAAAGGAAAGACATAGACATGACCCCAGTGCCACACGAAGAGATAGTGACAAAAGTGAACATTTGAGAAATGCCCACTTATCAGAGGAAGAGGATGCTGAAGCCAACTGCATGGAGAGAGGCATAGACACTTCCTCATGTCCTTTTCAGTTAGCCCGTCTCTCTCAGAGAGACAGGAGACAGAAGTAAAGGACACAAATTATTAACTCCCTGGTTCCTTTAGAGCTTCTTTGTCCCTTGGACTGTAACCCATTTGCTTAACATGGAGTTTTACTTAAGAGGCAATTCCCTAAAGGGAATTGAGTTAACTCTAGATAAAAAAGAGACATACCCATTTTGAATGCTTCATATTTCTTAATAACAAATCCAATGCTTCTAAATTGCCTTTGTCACCAAATTTTATGAAGTGAATTGGCTTGGTAATTACAGGTGGATGAAATGTATGTAAATTGTTTTAGTGACCACCCACATGCCAGAAGCTGGGTGCTGCACAGGCCTTCACTTTTCATGCTCTCATTGAAATCTACTGGCTACCACAATAAGCATAAGCCCTCAGGACAGTACCCACAGCATCAGATTCTGCTTCCTTTACATTGGCACTCCTCACAGAAAAGACTGGGCAATAAAATGACTTGATGAGCCAGTCACACACTCCTTATGGCAGGACTTCTTTAGTCAGCATCAGCCCCATGTTGCCCACAAACCTTTTCCCCTCCAAACATATGTGCATTCTGCTGAAACAATTTAACATCTATCAAATTGCTAATGAATACAGCAACCCTTAAAAATCCTAGCACCTCTAGTTAAGGAGTTATTGGCAGCTGCTGGCTGCTGGAAGGAGTCCCCCCAACCCCCAGGATGAGGCCCCCAATAGGAATAGATTACCTATGTTCAAGTGGACACAATGACAGCACTGTCAACTCAGTGAGTTTAAAATGGATACATGAAGATGTCAGAGAAAAGTAGTGGGGGAAGGGGGTTCAAGAGTGAAATTCATCAAAACACTGTGTAAATGCAATATGCTTATGCCTATGCTTATTGTGGACAGCAAGTAGATTTCAATGAGATCATCAAACAATAAATTAAAAATATTTTTCTTAAAGTTTAAGAGTAGCTCTTTTGAACCCTCATCTTCAAAGTTTGAGAAATCCTGAAAGACAGAGAGATCACCTAGTGGAGACCTAAATAAAGTCTAGTTGCTGTCTGTGCCCACATGCACTCAGTATAGTACTGAAACCACCCAAGCCAGGGATCAAGGCACCAGGCACATCCATGCCAATCCCTCCGTTCAATCAATAGGATACACCTATTATATTTAAACACACAGCCATGTCTTTTCCTCTCCATCCCTCAATGCCTTCCACTCTATGCTTTTCAAAGCTGTGACAGTGAAAGTACAAAGATCAGGAATTCAAGTAGCATGAGGTGGAAGGAGCTGTGAAGAGGAAAGGGGGGTGAGGGGATGTCCCCACAAGCAAGAAAGGTGGAGGCTGACAGGAAGGGTGGGAACATGAGGGCTAGAATAGGTGGGGGTGGTGAGGATTAAGGACCCTGATTCCTGAGAAGGAAGTCATTCCTTGAAGCCACACTGGGTATTGTCACCATATGAGAAAAGTGAGTCCAAGGATAGACTAAGTCTTCTCCCCAGCATTGGTCAGGGTTCTCCCTCCTCTTCTCAGACTCAAATGCCCATCTCTCTCCAGCAGCCCATTTGTGCCAGACTCCCCATGTATCCAGATAATTAGTGCTCACAACTGTGGCTCTACAGAACTGAGCCTGTGGCCTAGAGGCAGAGCAGCTTTGATGTTCCCCTTCCACCTCTGCTTTTTGCACAAAGTGCTTTTGAAATCCAAACCCTAAGAAGCTACAATCTGCTGCAAAGCCCTCAAACCCCTAGCTTTGCTTCTCTGGGTGCTGCTCTACTTGTTTGTTTTGTTTTGTTTGCTGGTACTACTTGGTTAAGTCCAACAATCCATCTTTTAAAAAAAAATGTAGATTCCCAGCCCAACTGCACCCTACTGAAGCTGAACTTCTGGGCTGGGCCTGGGAAATCAAGATTTATAGCAACTCTCCTGGTGATCCTGATGTATGGTTATGCCTAAGGGCCCATGCCCTGAAGCACCTACTCCATCTCCACCTTGTCCTTCTGTGTTCCCCTGCACCACAAGTACTAACACCCTCCTCTCTGCACTGGGAGTCAAGCAGCAACACACCTCCAATTCTTTTCCTGCAAAGAAACAATGGAAAGCTCAAGAGCTACCCAAACACCAAGAGTGCAGAGATATCACAGATGTCACATCAACATCGTGGCCTATGGCGTGATATTTCCACCCAAAGCCACCAAGAGGAAGTTCAGAAAAAACTCAGAGGCTGTAAAGGGAGGGCTATTGGGCCTTAGTAACAAGGGAAGTCAACATGACTTGTTTCCACTTCGAAAAGATATATCAAAATACAAATTATTTTCCGCATGTGGTCTTGCCACCTTTGTGTAGGGGGATACACCCTAGAAGATAGATGGTGAATAAAGCCAGATATAATGCAATTAGTTATACTTCTATTCCCCAAATTCAGACAATTTTCTCAGCCTCATGTATGCACATCTGGATAAAGCACTATACTTTCTCAATTGAACTATTCATATTTTCCCTTTATTAAATTAAAAATACTAATGCAAATCCTACATGTGACTTCCATAAGAAGCCAAGATAATAGGGTCAACTTTATTTTGGAATCAAACAATAACTTCTCATAATTACCTTTTTAAGGCCCCTAGATTAGCAACATATCTCTGGAAAATAAATAAAACAAGAAAAACCTTCCATGATGTGACACTTTGCATATCAGCAAACCTTCAAACTTTCTCTTACCACATGTCTATTTAGTTCAAGTTCAGGATATGTGTCAGTTTTTTATAGCAAAAAATGAGGGAGGAAGGGAAAGGGGAGAGAAGACATGAAGGGAAATACAAAACCATGAAAGAGAAATGGGGTCTATGACTGAAACATTTCCTAGTTCCACAGCACTGTGATCCAGTAGAACTGTGATATAAGATCAACAGTTTAGACCAGCATGGTGTGTCACCTGCTGGCCTAAGTAGTCTATAATTAGTCTATACTTAACACCTAGGCATGAGGTAAGCACATTCTCACTACTCCCATTTAAAAGACAAGAAAACCAAGACTGGAATCAAGAACTATGCCCCTGATTGCAGCCAGCAACTTACAGGGCTAGTACATGACCACAGTCCAACTCCTAACTGTGGTATGTGATGCAATCCAAATGTAGAGGTGCAACAGCCCCCAGGGAATCTGTGTGTACTACCCAATACCTTGGGCACCAAAACTGACCAAGAATTCCTGCAAATCCTTAAAGAGCTCCTGCATGGAATCAAATGTGACAGAATGATAAATCGCTCTGTAAACCTGAAATGCTTCATAAATATTCTACTTCCCCCAAGCATCTGCCAGGGCTCTCCCTCCAGAACCCAGGCATATATATGATTGGCATGACTTTCTACAGCAGAGGTCCTTCACATTGCAACCCCTCAAGACAATCAAGTAAAGGAAAAGTGATGGTTTTTGTTTTTGTTGTTATTGTTGCTGTTGTTGTTTTAACAGAGCAAAGCAGGTGCTGTTGAAAAAAGATTCTGCGGTGAGACTGGCCCCTAAAACTTTCAGGGAAGCTACACATGAACTCTCTACCAGTATGGCTGCCTAAACAAGAACTGAACAAGGAAAATACCTACGAACATGCCAACATTGAAGGGGTAAATCCCACAGGGTCCCAGTCATACACATACAGGTAACATTGTACAGACTGAGCAGATTATATTCATATACTTAAGAAATGTGGGGGACATGTGTATGAGCATGTATGTATGTGTATGTAACAACTACAGAAAAAGAGGCCATGAACTGGGAAGGGGGTACATGAAAGGGGCTAGATGGAGGAAAAGGAGAGGAAAAAATGATGCAATGATATTTTAATTTCAAATAAAAAAAATTTTAAAGGTACTATCATAAAGGAAATGAATACTGGTAAGTTAGACTTCACCAAAATAAAGAAGATGTATTGTTGTTGTCATCGTCGTTGTTGTTGTTGTTTGTTGTTTGGTGTTTTTGAGACAGGGGTTCTCTGTGTAGCTTTGTAGACCAGGCTGGCCTTGATCTCACAGAAATCCGCCTGCGTCTGTCTCCGTAGTGCTGGGATTAAAGGCGTGCGCCACCACCGCCCAGCAAGAAGATGTATTTTTGAAAAGATATTACGAGAAAGAAAAGGTGGAGGTTGAGAGTATAGTTGAGTAGGTAGGTATCTAGATATATGAGGTTCTGAGTTAGAATACCAGCACCACATAAGCCAGGCATAATAGAGCACATCTACCACATGGGAAGTCCAAAGTCATCTTCAGTGACTTCAAGGCCAGTCTGAGTTACATGAATCTCTATCTCAAAAAATGAAAAATCACAAATCAAAAAATTGACAATGAAAAAGAAAGAAATATTTTTAATATATATCTCCAACAAGACTCATATCCCAGAAATGTGAAGGATGTTGAAAACAGAGAGAAAATTAACAATAAAATCCAATAAAAATCTTAATAGTCACTTCATAAAGAGTATATGTAAGGCCTGGAGAGTTGGCTCAGCAGTTAAGGGAGCTTGCTGCTCTTCAGAGGACTCAAGTTAATGGCACCCATGTCAGGCAGCTCACAACCGTCTTTAACTCCAACTCCACAGGATCCAAAGCTCTCTTCTGGCCTCCATACTTGCAAACACATAGCATGCATGTGCATGCACACCCGCCGAAACACACACAGACACACACACACACACACACACACACACACAGAGAGAGAGAGAGAGAGAGAGAGAGAGAGAGAGAGAGAGAGAGAGAAATAAAAAATGAAAAGGGGAAATCCAAATGGCCAAAAGACATAAGAAGAAGACATGATGATTCCTCATTGAGGGAATGTAATTTAAAGACAGAATGGGCTA